GCATGAACGGCCCAATCATCTGCAACCATTGGTAGGTCCATCCGTTCCATATGGAATCTTGACACGAACTCCATGAGCATCCCGTTAACCCTTTGTTTGATGTTGAAAAAATCTGACTTTCTAGTTTCATCCTTAATGGACCTGGCATGGGCCTTTACGAAAGCATCTGCAAGCATAGCAAATAAGTCAATAAAATTTAGGGGCAAGTTGTGATACCATATCATTCCTCCATATGACAAAGTTTCCCCTAACTCTTTCAGCAACACCGACTCGATCTCATCGCCTTCCAAATCATTCTATTTGATCTACATATATATGAGGTCACATACTCATTTGGATCCGTGCTCCCATTATATTTGGCATTGTCGGGCATACGAAACCTCTTTGTGATCGGCTTTGGTGCCGCGCTCGGAGGAAAGGGCTTCTGGATAAATTTTTTGGAGTCCGGTCCCTTCAATATCTGGGGTGCTCCCGGGATCTAATCGACTATGGAGTTATATGTTTTCACCTTTTTGTCATTAGCCTCAGTCTTTTTATCGCCTGACTCCACCCGTTTTGTCAACGCTTTGGGCATATTCATTACCTCGAATTTTACCTCGAGCTCAACTTTACCTGGTCTCTCCGTAATTTGTTCGCCTCTTCGTGTACTTTCCCGGGATTGTTCAGGCTCGATCTTGTTGGGGGTATGGCTTTGGTTCTGTAGGTGTGCTATTGTCGCTTGTTGAGCCTGCAGCCTGTCGAAAATCAGCCGTAGGCTCACCCCATCACCTTCACCTTCGGACGCTTCTCAAATTGTTGGTCGCCCCTTCACCCCGCGCGAATACATTTTGCAGGATAAGTTGGCAAATTAATGTTGATGGCTACCTGCGAGTTAGCATCGACTGGGTCGGCAGCTGGAACACCGTTGGGATCGGTAGGAAGCACATTATTTCTAGGCACCACATTATTATTTTCGTCGTGGTGGCCTGATTCAGCATCAACGTTCAAGTGAGCCGACTGAGAGTTTGACATTTTTTGGCTGACCTGGAATTAAGATTTCAAAAAGGAATAATACATTATTACCCCCTCGCGTTGAACGATTTTGCCAGATGCTCCCTTTATTTTTACAGGAGTCCTATAACCCCCCTAGCTATGTTTGAAGTGTAATAAATAGCATATCTTAAGCTCATGTAGTGTAGAGAGTGTAAATCATTCTCTAGAAGAGGGTGACAGGCATAAATAGTTATTAAATATTTATTTTATTACCATTTTCTATTAAATATTAATTATCTTTCACTTTTTAAAGTTATGTTAAAATTTATGGGCCATCTTTTCTTTTACATAATATTTCTTTCTTTTTCTTATCTTCTCCATTGCCACATCTACCATCAGCGCCATTTTTACCGCCACTACACCACCGTAATAAACACTAGCAAGATCAATCCCTCTATCTACATTATGCTACTGCCACTTTTTTTGTCTTTTCTTCTTCATCATCTTTAGTTTTCTTTCCCAGCACCACCTATTCCTTCACTATCACCATAAACAAACCTTCTGCCAAAAGTAAAATCATCCAACTAATAAATTTTTATTTTTGGTGGGTTTGAATTCATCAACACTCTCAGTAACATCTAACACCTTTGCACTAATATTTTCCATCAAAATTACTTTTTGAGTGTGACCAATTTCTCAATAGAACAAAAATTTCACAAAATAAAAAAATATAATTTCAATTTTTGCAATGCTAGGTTAGAATTTCAACTTGCCAGAAAAGTTTGAGTCTTGTTTGAGAAAGATGAGAGAAGTTTAAGTCTTAGTCTCGGGCTTCTATGGCTTCTTCCGTTGTTGGAGAGTTCTAATTGTGTGGGGGAGAGTCTGTTTTGTCTTCATGACACTGCTTCCGTTCAATTCAGATTCAAGCGCCACTAATGATCTGGTGCTAGTCTCCATTCTCGCCGGTCAACAATTTTTCGGTGAGTGTCTACATTAATCTAGGAGTAAAAAGAGGAAGTGAGTTACAGGGATAAAGATAGTGAAATAAGAAAGAAAAGAAAAAAAGAAAAGAAAGATAATGAATAAAATAAGAAGAAAAGATAAATAGAAAGAAAAAATGAAAAAAATAAAAATTAATTGATTTTACACGTGGCAAATAAAGATTAGTATTTAATTCACATATCTTTTTTAAAATTGGGATTGGCTTTAAAAGGTGTTATTTATTACACATCAAATATAGTCAGGGGATTATAGGACTCCCGTAAAAATAAAGGATCCCTCTGACAAAATGGTGCAATGCCAGGGTGTATTTATGTATTATTTGTGTTATGGAGATTCCTATTAAATCACCACTATTATCCCACCAATTGATATCCCAAAATTAGGTAACAATTAAATTTGTATACGGTTTAAAGGATACGTGGTTTAATTCAACACGAATAATTAAGAATAACAGATAAATGAATTAAAGACGAAATAAAAAATCAAACCAATCGCAATGTTATGACCAAGCCTAATCTTAGATTGAACAGTGAGCTCGTCCTCAAATGGACCCTCGGTTTAAGCCCAGTTGCGAATGAAGAGCAGAACAAGTGAGTAATGCCTTTAACAGTAGCTAGAAGACAAAAGTAAACTTTTATTGCTTTGATTGTGTGTTACAATGTGTCAGACTAAAGAAAAACTTCTCTTTTATATAGTAGGAGGTTTCATACCTAGTATAAGTTTATAAAAGGTAAAAATCTTCTTTTTCCGGTAATTATTGATCCATAATCGATATCGAACGAGATTCGCGCTGTGATATCTGATAGAGGGAGAGTATTACAGCCCTCTATTCGTCATGCATAACTGTTCACCGTGTCTTCCGGGGTCTAGAACTTATACTCGGTCTAAGGCGCGTCGCTTTACCATGTACGATGTCAGATATATCATTCATTCTTGCCGGGACTCGATACGAAGGGTCTGGCCTCGATTACAATCTCGTGAATCTGTGCTCTCCCTTCATTCTCTCATCGGGGAATCGTGGTGGATGTATACAAAATTGTAGAGATTAAACATGGGATTTATACTTGAGAGAGAGGTCCACACAATTGGGCGATGAATGGCCTTCTACATGGCCTGCTTATTAGAATTAATAGTAAATCGTTAGTGTTATTTGTACATCACGCCCCTTTACAAATTTTAAATTTTAGAAATTGATTCAGCAACGTGCCTCATAAACTAGAAAATATTAGAGAATTTGGCATTGCATGACAATCTGATCCAACAATTGGCACAACAGAACTTTTCTTTTGGCATTTAGCTGATGGTAGTCCAAATTGACTATTTATCTAGAAAATATTGGCATCCACTAATCAAATTATTTTTCTTAAAAATAACAAAAGATTTTTAGCACTCTCTGTTTTTAATGGCAGCTATCATCCTAAAAATAGAGCTATCAAAACGGGCCAGCCCAACCCAAGCCTCGTGGGATTTTAAATTTGGTGGGCTAGGACGGGCCGTCCCACCACATGAATGGGCCTTAAAATGGCCAGTCCAACCCAGCTCTAAGAGGACCGCGGGCTAAGGCGGGCCGACCCTTCAATATTTTTAGAAAAAAGAATTTCTTTAAATCCTTAAATATTTTTTCATGACATAGTCGATTAATCATGTAAACAACTTATGTTTGCTTAAAGCGTACAAAAAGCTTGATGTTTGATGAGGAATCTCGTAATTGAAATGCAAATTCTCTATATCTATGGCTCTTTTTTTAAAAGTTACATGAATATTTTCTTAATGCTTTTCTTTCATTTTCCTCAGATTCAGGGATTGCTTCAATAAGTTTATATGTTGAAGTTTTTTAACTTAGGATTAACATCATTTGCTGATTTCATCATTATAGTCCATAAAATTTTTAAAATTTCTGAAATTTGCTAGTGGTCAATTTTTTTTTTTTTGTATTTAAAATTAATCTTTTTCTATACTGAAGAGCAGTTTAAATATTAATAATATATTAAAGTAATCCAAACTGATCATTGGCCACTTAAAGTAATATATTTTTTTGACATAAGATTATTATTGGCCACCTAAACTTTTTGAGTTAGTTATTAATTAAGCAAAAGAAATACTAATTTTGTCATATTACATGCATGTCAAAAATCTAAATTCTAGTTGATATGGAAGGGTAAATGAGCAATCCAGGGTTAGGGAATGGAGATTACAATTAGTAATTTTTTTAGTTTTTACTTTATTTAAATATTAAATATTTAATAGTTAATTAATTTAAATTTAATTAATTTTTGGCCCACGGGCCGGTCCAAGTCCAACCTCGGTCAAGCCTCAAGGGCCAACGGGCTAACTTGGGCCGAGCTTATAAGCCTCAGTTTTAAGTAAGCTCAAAAAATTCTTAACCCAACCCTACCCAAGTAGCGGGCTGGGTTGGGTTCGCCAAGCCCAATTTTGACAGCTCTACCTAAAAATAAGCTTCCATTTCCTTTCAAAGTAGAATCCGAGTCTCTCTCAATATTTTCTCCCAAATCTCCCTATTTTCTTTTTCTGGTTATTTTGATTTCCACTATGCATATCAAGTTTAGAGAGAGGTCTAAAATATAAACAATTTTAGTTGTTTATAATTTATTCTTGTCTGTATATACAAGTGTATAATACAAATATAATTATATTATTTGTATATCGCAATGTATAACACAATAATAATATGCACATCAAAACATATATTACAACCTTTTTTCCTTCTTTGTACATCAAAATGTATATCAAAATTTTATTTTTCTCTTCGCAATCTCAGTGTATTAACACATTTATAGATGCCTTATTCGGAAATTTCGAGACTCAAAATCATCCATTCCTATAATGCATATCGTGATATCATTGTATATCACACATCCGACAATACATAGCACGATATATAGTACGGTATACATACATGTATATTTGGTGGAGAATTAACTGTCTTGTTGATTCAGGATCTCCCTCTGAGATTTTAACTTCAAATGATACTTGGAGAAGAGAGTTTGAACAAAGTAATCAGCGAATTAAGCGAAAAGGAAGAAAAAAAAGATGTATTTTCCATCATTTATCTCACAAATAAGACTCATGATTAGCTCGACCGCTAATCATTTTATGGAACCTTTACAAAGAGAAAATTCCCAGCAGAAAATATTAACATGGGAAAGTTTTGCACAGAAAAAATGCTTATTTATAGAAGTTCCCACCCAGATTCACTGATGGACGATTCTGTTGAGTGTAAACATGGTGAAGGAAGAGAAGGCAACTCAGTGTGCTTGCTGGTTTCTGCGTCAACGTCTGCATACAAAACAGCCAATTGCTTGTATTCCTTTATCAATCTCTTCCTAGAAGCAAATGCCTCCTGTATTAGTTCCTGTCGTATAGCAGAGACAAAAACTGAGTTCAGGCTTTAAAGCAGAAGGGAAGCTTATTAATAGAGAGGTTACCTTGTACGACTTATATTTCCTTGGCCTAAAAGAAACCGTTCTTTGTAATTTATTGTCCACAAGAACACAACTTTCCTGCTTTCCCTTATCAGTTAGATCAATCGTTTCCATCCCAGGAAGATCAATGCAGCAATCATTCAAGCATCCTGCAAAAAGCATCAAAAGACACGGATATGAATGCCCAGGTCTGAGAAGCAACGCATCAATCTGAACAATATGAGTATATATGGCCATGAGTCATCTGTAGCTTCCAAGTTATTTGCTCTCAACCAAGAATTTTCCAAACCTTGTTTCAATACTCACCCTTATATTTCAAAAAAATAAGTAGAATTTTCCAAACCTTGTTTCAATCCTCAACCTATTCATGCTGATTTTGCTGGTTCCAAGATTGATCTAAATTGCTGCTGCGTGTTCCATGAAATGATGAGGATATAACAGGATAAACTAAATAGCAATCAACTAGTACGATTTTTCCAAACAAGGAATACAGCACCGAGAAATCTTATGGTTAATATTTTATAAAGAGCAACCCTTTTATTCTTCCATAAGTTTATAGTCGACAAAACATGCTAGTCAATATCATCCCTTCGCCCTCAAATTTCCTTTCTCATTTCTTTTTTTGAGCTCTCCTTCCGAAAAAAATGATACACTATGTTATAGCATCTTTTGCATTACTCAAGGACAATGAGTACTACGTACTAAGCAAGTAGTGCAGCAGGGATCTGAGTTTGCATTCATTTCTCATTATTCTCTTTATTTTCATACATGCATCATCATCTCGGCTGTATTCCCATAGTTTAATTGCGAGTACACATGAAATTTCAAAGGAAGGAAAGACAAACAATGTTGTTCCATGTTGTACCTATTTCTGCAGGACACATAAGAGCCTTCAACTGAGAGCTTGGATACCACTCAAGGTTATTTCTTATTGAACCAGAATCCCCAACTGACTCGTGAGAACTCGAGACGTTTACATCTGCAGAAGGAGAAATCTTTTGAAGCAGTAGATACCACAGAAAGAAGAGGAAGTAAAAACAGAGACAACTAAAAACTGGACAGTATTTATTTTTTACTCCACCAGAGGGTTCGAAGAGGAATCCACTTACCACTGAAATCCATCAACAATGCAGCAGCGCTTGAGAGAGCTGGAATGACAGCAACAACATTGTTTGCACTCGCTAAAGGAGTTGACAAGGAAGATGAGAGGCCAGTGGAGATACTACAATCGGACTCTGCTTCCAGTGAACAGTTTCCAATTGACAGGCTTGAAAATTCTGTTAACGGGGAAGAGTCTGATACTCCGGTGTCTACATCCACGCTTTCATTCTCTACAAGAACTCGAGAAAGTACAAGTTCAGATGACTGGAATGTATTTGGAGCGTCTTCAAATGCCCCCTTACTTGACTTATCAGAAACACAAGTAATATCGTCCAAGAAGCTTTTACAGACGGGCATGGACACCCCAAATCCTGCATCACTAAGTGAAGTTGGAGGTATATTAGATGTAAATGCTGGGGTTTGCGGCAAACTTTTATCTCTAATAGAACTTGATTTCTTGGGTGCAAGTTGATCCTCACTGGTGATATTGTCTTGCAATATCGTATGAGTTATTGAAACATTGGAAATGCTCTCAGCAGCATCAAAAAACCTGTTGCATCCTCTCTCATCCTCTGGGAAGGTTCCAAGTTCTGTATCATAAAATGAAGTTGGATGTGGGAACTTAGCCGTGATGGAATTTCCATGACTTTCCTCCATTAAAGATGGTAATGACTTGGATAAAGCAATATCTCCAAAAGAATTTGATTGAGCAGTGATTGGTTGAACCTCACTAGTGATGTTCCGTTGCAAAACAATCTGACTACTTGGTGCAGTAGAAATACAATTAATAGCATCAGGAGAACTATCAAACATTTTCTCATTCTTCTCAGAGGCACTGGATTGTGATTCAGACAAATTATCCAGAAATGAACTTGATCCCTCAGCCAGTGGTTGCTCCTCCCTAACAATATCATCTTGTAGTATAATCATCAGAGAGCTTGATACATCAGAAAAACAGTTATCATCATCTGAAAAGCTACCGCTCTTGGTATCTTTAGAATCTTTGTCAGAACATGATTCAGATGAAATTGTGGCTACCGAAGTACTTGATTCCTCATCTACCAGTTCTTCCTCCCTTGTTATATTCTCTTCAGAAACCTTACGAGAGCTCTTACAAGTTGCAGCGGCTCTATCATTTCCTACAGAAAACTCAATTTCTCCTTCTTCAGAAGCTACCACACCAAGTTCAGTTGAAGTTGAAGCATTATGGCTTTCAGGGGAATTGTCAGCATACTGATCTACAGATGATTGCTCTTTGATAGGGTTCTGTGTAGTGCCTGCGACTGAACTAGTATAAGTACCAACATCGTACTTTTGCTTTCCATTGACAGCTTGTGTTTCTCTTTTTATATGATCATCTATTGGGATATGAAAATCTTGCACCACACCCGAGTATAACTTTTTCATGCTTGCACCAACAGTTTGCACCTGATTCTCAACATATTTAACTGTGTCCTAATAGTTAAAAATTAGGCCAAATTAAAACCCCAAAATACTCATAATATGGTGAAATGTTCTGTCCATTCCAACAAACTACTAGAAAAATGTGGATTCCAAGGAAACAAAACAGCAAGAGAGAAAGCAGATATACCGAAGTATTTGACACATCTGGAAGCAGTTAATGGTCAAAACAGATCACATTTACATACCTTGGTTACAAATCCATCTACCTCCTGGCACACAGCCTCAAACTTGTGGTATATGTTTCCAATCCAACTTTTGCTTCTGATTTTCTCCATGGTGCAATGTAAGAGTTGATTTTAACACTAAATCCAGATCACACTTCAAAATCGTTTAAACAAGGCAATGTCCTAATCCAAAAAACAGTATCACCTGCCAAAAGCAATGACCTGCATAAACATCATGATTAATGTTCTGTCACATCACTCCAAAGACATAAATCTAGGAAGCCAAGCACATAACTGAGAACCCCAATGCAGCTGGATTTAGCTTCCTGAAAAATCTTCAAAAGGTATAGGCCACAGACATAGTTTTAAAAGCTATAACCTCTGAAAATTCTTTAACTGAATATCTTTTCACTAATTGTGGCCTAAATTTAGCGCAACGTAAGACAAATCAATTTAGTGCAAAGCTATAACATCTTTTAGTGCAACAACAACAAAAAAAAAAATAGTGTAATCCCACAAATGGGGTCTGAGGAGGGAAATGTGTACGCAGACCTTATCCCTACCTTGTGAAGGTAGAGAGACTATTTTTGATAGACTCTCGGCTCAAGGAACAATGAAAATAGAGCAACAACAACGTAATAGGGTAACGGAAGCGAATAACACAACATGTAATAATAAAGAACCAGGAATAAGAAAATACAAGAATAGTACTAGTACTGCTGGTAAGCAATGTAAGATAAATCAATATCAACTACCGGTGGTACCTGAAGCTGGAAACTTTTCAGACTTATCAAGCTATAAACCAAGCTATAATACCTTTAGCAGATAGAGAGTATAGCGAGATTGCGGTACCATACACTATTAAGAGATGAACTATTTACAAGTTTTGGGCTATTTGAGTTGAAAAAAGAAAAAAAAAATCAATAACAAAAGTAGAAAGCAGAGAATTTATAATGATTCAGCTCTTAAAAGAACAATAAAGAGAAAGATGAACAAAGATTCTATCTTTCAGTAACACAAAGCATCAAAGCCAGGACAAAAAAGGCATAAGCATACGTCAATAACCAAAAATCATCAGCTTAGAGGTCTTAATGTACTAAATTACAGTAGAAGTCAACTTAACAGTCGCAAGGTCTAAACTTTAATTTCTATTTTGACAAAGCAAGAAAAAACAACCCGCTTCCTATATTGCCATAAATATCAAGAAAAAAGTGTTAGATGATCGGAAGAAACAACAATGGTAAATTTACCTAGACTGTTGGAACATTATCACCAGCGACCAAACAACCACGGAAAGATGAAGAATTACGCTGTAATAAGTTGAAATAATAAGCAAAACCTCAAAGGGATTATCATTAAACAAAGATAACAAATTATCCAAAGGTAAAAGATAATATGGGGTTAACCCAAACAATACAACTTTGCAGAAAAACTGTAAGTGGGGAAAAGTGAAAGAAAGATGAACTTACGGGTAATTTACAGCGGCTGATAATGAAGAAACTGAAGAATTGGGAGAAGGGTTTTAGAGCTGTAAAAAAAATCTCTATGTATATATATTTAACAACTAAATTATGTACATGGAAAAGGTTTCAGAAATTGTTGGGTTGGAGTTTAGTGTTTATTTGGGGTATGGGATTTTCTAAACTATTTCCTTTTGTTAATAGGAAACTTCACTTTTTGTTTTGTTTCACTTTCTTTTTAATTATTGTATTACTATATTGTATTTACTATTGTGATATCATCTGGGATCACGCAACAGTCAATCCCAAAGTTTCTGCTCTTTTTCTTGTGAAGTCCTCCTTGAATTATACTTGTGGCAGCCTTTACATGATAGGATTTTCACCCCTTATTTCATGAAGGGTTGATGAAATTTAGGTTTAATAAGAAAATGGTTGCAAAATAGGATATGTTGGTCCTTCGAAATTTCGTTTGAATTTTTTTTTAAGGAATTTTCAGAAACCACTATTGTTCAGTGACTATTAACTTCCTATAACTACCGTATGCATAATTATTTCTTATAGCTAATATTAAGTTGTTACGATAGTGTATTCACTGTATTCGCGTTGCTATATTCATGAATACAGCAGCAAAAAGCGCCTAAAAATCAGGGCAATCCAGCTGTACGCGCATGTATTCATATGTATTTGAGTCATGTATTCATGAATACAGCAGCAAAAAACGCCTAAAATTAGGGCAGTCCAGCTGTACATGCATGTATTCGCGCTGCTGTATTCATGAATACAACAGTAAAAAGCGGCTAAAATCAGGGCAGTCCACGTGTACGCTATAACGACCCGGTCGGTCATTTTGAAAGTAGTAGCTCGTTCCCCCATTTACTGCTCATTTTGTACTTTATGGTTGTTATGTCACTTGTCGGGGTAGTCGGTTCAGGGCCGGAGAGATTTCGGAATGAATTGAGACACTTAGTCTCAAGGTTGAAAGTTTAAGTTGAAAAAGTTGATCGAATATTGACTTATGTGTAAACGACCCCGAAATAGAGTTTTGAAGATTCCAATAGCTCCGTATGGTGATTTTAGACTTAAGAGCATGTCCGGAAAATTATTTGAAAGTTTGTAGTTAAATTAGGCTTGAAATGGCTAAAAATAAAAATTTAAGTTTGGAAGTTTGGCCGTGGAGTTGACTTTTTGATATCAGGGTCAAATTTTGATTCTGAAAATTTGAATAGGTCTGTTATGTCATTTATTACTTGTGTGCAAAATTTGAGGTCAATTGGACTTGATTTGATAGGTTTCGTCATCGAATGTAGAAGTTGAAAATTCTTAAGTTTCATTAAGCTTGAATTGGGGTATGATTCGTGGTTTTAGCGTTGTTTTGATGGGATTTGAGGTTTCAACTAAGTTCGTATAATATTTTAGGATTTGTTGGTGTATTTGGTTGAGGTCCCGGGGGTCTCGGAGGAGTTTCGAATGGTTAACAGATCAATTTTTGGACTTGGAAGATGGCTGAAGCAACATATTTCTGGTGTCAGATTTTCTTCTTCGCTCTCGCGATGGGAGTCACGCGTTCGCGAAGGGCAATTGGAGGCAGGCGAAGATTTATTCTTCGCGTTCGCGAAGGTTGAGGGCCAGTGTGCATCGCCAACGCGAGAAAGCTGACGCGTTCACAAAAAAGAGTGAGGGCTGGGGTGGACTTCACGTGTTAGCCTACGCGTTCGCGAGTGAGGCGTCGCGTTCGTGAAGGCCTGGGATCCCTGGTCATCGCGTTCGTGAGAGGACCCTCGCGTTCGCGTAAGAGAAATTTTTGGCAGTGAAATCTTGTGCATCGCGAACGCGAGGAAATTTCCGCGTTCGCGAAGAAAAAATGCCCGGACAGAGAGTATAAGTTCTGAAAATTCTATTTTTAGCTATTTGGAGCTCGGGGAGAGGCGATTTTCGGGAGATTTTCAAGGAAAACGGTGGGGGTAAGTGTTCTTAACTCAATTTTGGTTAAAGTACCCGAATCTATGGTAATGTTTAACATTTAATTAGTGAATTAAGTTGAAGAATTTTGGAAACCTCTTGGTTAAATTTAAGATTTGATGGCCGAATTATTATCGGAATTTAGTAATTCTGGTATGGTTGGACTCGTGGTTGAATGATCGTTCATATTTTGTAACTTTTGTCTGGTTCGGACACGTGCGCCCCACGGGCGATTTTTGAGTTAAATTTCAGATTTTATTGGAAAATTAGTATTTTCATATGGAATTAATTTTCAATAATGTATATTGATTAAATCGAATTAATTGTGACTAGATACGAGGCTTTCGGAGGCCAATTCATGAGGCCAAGGCATAGCGGAGTAAAAAATTACATGGTTCAAGGTAAGTGACTTGTCTAACCTTGTGTGGGGCAAATTCCCCTTAGGATTGGTAATGTCATGAAAATTGAGATGTATTGAAAGTCATGTACGCGAGGTGACGAGTGTGTACACGGGGTAATGTGGAAGATTATATCTTTAAATTGTGTAGGACTCTGCTACATATTAATTAAATTATTTTATCGCGTTATATTCATCATCATTGGTCTATTTTTATATTTTAAATTTGCCTTACCTTTTTTCTACTAATTGCTTTACCTGTTTAGTTGAAACTTTGTTTCTTTTATTCTGTGCTCATTATTTTAAAGTTGAATTTCTGAATTGAATTATTATTTATATGAAATATTTGACATTAAAAATTTGGTATTGAGACAAAGTGTTAAATTTGTGAAATATTAATTTATTGAGTTATCCACTCCCGAATATTTTGTGAGATTTTGTATTCATTGTGATTGAGCCGTGAGCTCCTTATTGTGGAAAATAATTTTGTTGTTGATTTATTTTGATATGTTGAAATATTTGGGCACTTGAGGTGCAAATTATGATATATTGTGGTATTGATACGCATGTGGTGGTATAAGGTCTGGGTGTTGAAACGCATGCAGTGAGATAAGGGTGGCTTGATACGCGTGGCTAGTAGGGGAACTACTAGAAGCTATGCAGTGTGATAAGGGTGGCTAAAACGCGGGATGCTATTTCGGGAAAAAATAATTTCTTTAAAATTTAATGTGAAGGCTCCTGCAGTGATATAAGAAAAATAAATATTGTGAATTTATTTATGATTTGGGACTACGAGGCAGTACCTCGGGAGTATCCTTGTTGATATTTTTCTATTGGTGTACTTGCCTTGATTGTTATGTTTTTCCCTGAATAGGTAAATTTTCTGTTTTTCTTCAGTGGTATATTATTTACCCTTATTCTGTGCAGCTAAATTGTGACATACTCCTTACTCGATTCACTTCTATTTTTATTATTATTATTATTATTATTATTATTATTATTATTATTATTATTATTATTATTATTATTATTATTATTATTATTATTATTAAACTTTTTCGCCTTGCCTTTTATTATTTTCAGTAGGGCCCTGACCTGACCTCGTCACTACTCTACCGAGATTAGGTTTGGCACTTACTGGGTACCGCTGTGGTGTACTCATACTACGCTTCTGCATATCTTTTTGTGCAGATCCAGGTACTTCCTACTAGACCAGGTATCAGTGAGCTAGTCTGTACGCGGAGACTTCAAGGTACATCTGCCAGCGTTCGCAGACCTCGGAGTCCCCCTCTATCTTTAAACTAGTGACTTATTCCTACCGGGTTTTGGGAGTTGTAACTACTTTGAATTACAATTTTTAATTATTTCGTATGTTGAGATTTGAGTTTCAGTTTTAGATTCCGTATTTTTTCGCATAATTGATAGGCTTACCTAGCCTTACAGACTAGGTGCCATCACGACATCCTACGGAGGTAATTTGGGCTCGTGACATACGCGCATGTATTCGCGCCATGTATTCATGAATATAGCAACTAAAAGTGCCTAAAATCAGGGTAGTCCAGTTGTATGCGCATGTATTCACATGTATTCGCGCTACTGTATTCATGAATACAACAGTAAAAAGCGCCTAAAATCAGGACAGTTCAATTATACGCGCATGCATTCACATGTATTCGCATCATGTATTCATGAATATAGCAACTAAAAGTGCCTAAAATCAGGGTAGTCCAGTTGTATGCGCATGTATTCACATGTATTCGCGCTACTGTATTCATGAATACAACAGTAAAAAGCGCCTAAAATCAGGACAGTTCAATTATACGCGCATGCATTCACATGTATTCGCATCATGTATTCATGAATACAGTAACGACAATCACCTTAAAAATAGGTATGTCCGGCTGTCTAAGAAAGAGGAAAAACATAAATAGTGTATTTCATGCCTCAATGGTAGTATATACCATAAATACTTATTTTGGTATAAAATATAAAAGGTAGCTATAGAAAATAATATTTTAAAATGATTTTGATTTATAAGAAATATGGTGTATACCTTTGCTATAGGAGATAAAATTTTCTTTTTTTTTTCCTTGGACTTAAAGTTCGGGTGCCTTGAACTCATAGCCTAAAGTTGAGGAGCATTTGCATATATATCTAGTTTTGGGGTCACTATTGAAGTATACTCATATTGCACAAACAATTACAAGTGTATCCCTTTTTGGATAAACTTCAGACTTAGCAAGTCTAAAGATAGAAAAATTAGTGTCTCAAGTTGTAAACTTAAGATGCACTTAATACTATTTTAGTCTTAAGCGCGGCGGCTTATTTTGCATTCACCTAAGACTTTTTTAGTCTTAAGTACAAAAATTGCACTTAAGATGTACTTAAGACTTAATTGGACCGAAGTGCAGCTAAATTTTACAAGCACTTAAGACGTTTCAGTCTAAAGTGCAAATTACTCAAAAACATAAACTTGTTTTTCGAATTTCAACAATCCAACACATAATTCAATATTCAAATCGACTCCAAATGAGCTCAACCTTGAAACATAACTTTCAAATATTATAAAAAAATAAACTCCAATCATCAATTTATCAAAATAACAACAAATCTATTTATTTTACAATGAAGAGGATGAGGAAGAAGAAACTCTAAGCAGTAGCAAATAGAGGAGCGTCACAACAGCTTACAACTGTAAAATACCATAAACCACTTAAAAACCCCTCACAGACACCATGTAAATTTACTGTCATCTTTACTTTCACAACAATTGAGAAGAAGGAGGAGGAGGAGGAGGCCTGAAGTTCTTTGTA